GTTAACCAGCAGGAGTTCGTCAGAGCCCTGGCAGCCTTCCTCAAAAAGTAAGTGGTCCCGGGCCGGGGGTGGAGAGGTGGCTCCGAGGTCAAGAGCACTGCCTCTGCTCTTCCAGAAGGTCCTGGGTTCAAGTCCCAGCAACCCACATGGTGGCTCGCAAGCATCTGTAATGGGATCTGTGCCCTCTTCTGGTGTGCAGATAGACATGGGAGCAGAATGTTGTATGCATAATAAATAAATGAGATCTTTAAAACGCACCCCTGAGCCACGCGCACACACACAGGCACGCACAACTGTAAGCTGTGAGCCTCCCTCCAGTGCCTGGCTGGTTCTTCTGGGTGGCAGGGTACCGTCCGCCCTGCTTCGTCCTTCCGAGTTTGTCCCGCTGGCGGGGGAATGGTTGGGGAGGAGGGAATCTGAAGTCGCTTAATGGCAATTTCTGCTTCTCCCGATTCTCTTGGTCCCAGGTCCGGGAAGCTGAAAGTCCCCGAATGGGTGGACACAGTCAAGCTGGCCAAACATAAAGAGCTTGCCCCCTATGATGAGAACTGGTTCTACACACGAGCTGCTTGGGGCCTTTGGCTGGGGAAGGGGAGCTGGGTGACCCCGGGCAGGGACCCCTTCCCCTGCCTACTGTTATTAGACAGACCTCGTGCTCTGATAATTTGGACCTGAAAGGAAGCCTGGGAACAAAAAGATATTTTACTTATAGGTGCTCACTTGACTGTTCAATGGTGTAGCATTTAAATTCAAATTCATCTCTACCGAGTCCTTTTTGACTGAACGATTGGCAAGTTGGGAGTGCCACCCCTTGTCCGAGTGCCCAAAACAAAAATTTTGGATTTCCCTCTGGAGCTATGGATCCTGTTGGATGCTTTGGAGTTTTTTAAACAGTGGTCTGTAGTCTTGATTCTGCAGGGTGGGAGCAGTGCTGGGTTGTGCCAAGGCCTTTGCTAAGGGACCCCAGCCTGAGAACTCACCAGATCACAGGGAAAAGTTGGCCCTTGTACAGGTTGCTGGTCACTTCAAGAATGTGAAGCAGTTTATAAATTTACATTGAAGTTTATTAATAAGTCAAATGTCCATGGGATCCACTTTGTTTCAGGCTTTGGCATGGGCACAGGGACCATCATGACTCAACACAGCCTCTGAAAACCAAAAGGTCAATTCCACAGTGTGGGAAAAGGTTGGTGCATCCACCTGCCAACGCATTGTTTTTTGTTTTTTTGGTTTTTTTAGAATAAGGGTGATGTAGAGAAGGTGGCTTCCCTGGCTACACCATCGGTGAGGCCTAGCTGAGATACACCTTCCCCCTTTCTCAGAAGCAAGTGTACGGAATATTGTCAGTGTTCCAGGTTGGGACAGCTTGGATTTAGAATTGCAAGAAGAAAATACTGATTTTCTCTGGGTGGGGTGACTGATTAATAGATGCGTTCTCGACATCACATGCAGAATTGGTTGTCCTATTTTTCCGAGATTGGTATGGGGGGTGTGTCCTGCATGTGCAGGGCCCACCAGTTGGTGTGTGTGTGTTTAAGACAGGGTCTCACCATGTATTCCTGTTTGGCCAGGAGTTGGCTAAGTGGGCCAGGCTGGCCACTGGCAGCCAAGTGCTGAGAGTTGAGTTCTGTGCTCTGTGTGTGCTAAGCAAGCATTCCTGAACTGCATCTCAAACCTAAAGTTGGGAAAGGGTTAGCAATGAATGGAATCAGCCTGGTAGCTCTCGCCTTTAATTCCGGCGCTTGTGATTGGATTTGGGGCTAGAGGGTGATGAGGTGGGAGAGGGCGGGGTGTTCAGTGTGACATTGATAGGAAGTCTCTTCGTTAGGGGGGTGAATTGGGGCTAAGAAAGCACTTTTTCCTTAGTTTGGCCAAGAAGGGTCAGGGTGAGAAATTCACGAGGTTCCTCCAACACTTTGAGGTCACTGGTCAGGATGCACCACTCTGAGCTTAGCACAAGTTCTTCGGTTGCTGCTAAGCTGCAGTGCCTCATGAAGTCTTCGAGCAAGTTGGCGTGAAGGACACAAGCCCCTCCTGGGTGTAGCTCCCTAGGGTGGTGAGACATTCAGGGCTAAAGCCCTGTCTCTGACCCTCTGAAATTCAGTGACAATTAAAAGTGTGCTAGGAATGCCCACAAACTCTGTAAGTGGCTGACAGGTGGTTTTCCAAGAGATGGTTTTTGTGTGGTGCTGAAAAGAACTCTTCCATCCCCATGAGAGAAGGTTGGGGAGCTTTGTTGCTCTTCCCTCCGTCCCTGGCCAGTGAGCTTGCAGCTAGAGCAGTTGTTTGCCTTTGGCGCTGTTGGCACCTGCTGTGTATATGTGTCCAGGCTGATGTTGATCCCTGGGCCCAGCTTAGGGAAAGCAAGCTCCCCTGCCCTAAGGAAGAGCAGATCACTCAGCGCAGACAGCTTCTGGCATTAGGGGTAGCAGAGTGGCCATCGAGTGGGTTTTTTCTGGTCATGTCACGTCCCAAGAAGATAGGAAATGACACCAAATGAGTGTGTTGGCTCATGAAAGGTATGGGGCTGTGGTTTAGGGCCAGAAGCAGGCTGTGGGAGCCAGACGGGTGGGCGTATCGGGGGAGCCCACTCGTGGGTCATTTACACAGACCTAGCTGGAGTCCCTAAAATGAATTTCTACTTACTTGCCCAGTGGCTTTGGAGAGCCAGAAGAGAGGTGGCAGCTGGTCCAGATTCCTAGTGTTCGTTTAGGGGTGAAGACATCCCTCTCTGTTCCCTAGCCAGGCAGAGCAATAAGGTGGCCCAAATCCCTTCTTGCCTAAATGGCAGGGGCTTGGTTAGTATATGGGCTGTGAGTCTTCGTGTTAACTGGGAATGTCGAATTGCCTGGGCCCTGGTACCATGCAGCCCTTGAGGCTGTTTTATTTCATTGGTTGAGTGCTCGGGGGTGCCAGCTCAGCGCCATGGGGCATGGCCTAGGATTTGCTGAAGCTTGTTTGACATGCCAAGGGGCTGCCCCCAAGAACAGTGGTCCTGTTCCCATGGCTGAGGCTCCAAGTTTGAGGTACCCCCTACAGAAAGTGGCTGAGCTGCTGTAGAAGGTCCTTTTCCACTCTCCTGCCTCAGGCATGTGGAGATGGGCACATTATCTCTTGAGCTTTTAGAGTCATCAGAGCTATCAAGATTTAAAGCTTTGCCCTTTCCCCTGGCTGGCAGCGCGGAGGCCGCACGATGCCTGGAGTCACTGTAAAAGACGAGAGGAACCAGGGGTGTCAAGCCCCAGTTTTGATGTGTTGTGTTTTCCCCTGTAAAATGGTGAGGAATTGCCTCATTTCACACAGTGAGTGTGGAAGGTGGTCCTAAGGCACCCTCTTGCCCCTCCCCCAGGACACAGTCAAGCTGGCCAAACATAAAGAGCTTGCCCCCTATGATGAGAACTGGTTCTACACACGAGCTGCTTCCACAGCACGGCACCTGTACCTCCGCGGTGGTGCTGGGGTCGGCTCCATGACCAAGATCTACGGAGGACGGCAGAGAAACGGTGTCAGACCCAGCCACTTCAGCAGAGGCTCCAAGAGTGTGGCCCGCCGCGTCCTCCAAGCCCTGGAGGGGCTGAAGATGGTGGAAAAGGACCAAGATGGGGGCCGCAAGCTAACACCTCAGGGACAGAGAGATCTGGACAGAATTGCCGGACAGGTGGCAGCTGCCAACAAGAAGCATTAGAACAAAGGATAAGGCAGACAGGGAGGGCCTTGCCCAGGCCTCTCTGGCTCTGGGAAGGTAATTTAGCGACTGTCCACTTTCATTAGCCTGCTCGTTAACTTTTCCCAATTGATTTTTTTCGGGGCTTTTGATCTAATGCTTGCACAAACGACACCCCGTCAGCTCCCAGGGGTCTCCCGCTCCTGCCCCCAGCTCCTTAGGATGCAGCTGGCTAGGGCACTAGCGGGG